AAAAAAAAAAAAAAAAAAAAAGGCTTGCTATAGATCTGTAAATACGTCCCAGCAGTTAAATTATTAATAAATAACAATTAGAATTAGTTGTTTATCTTCTGTCTCATTATTCTAGATTGAGAAAATGAAGTTTTCTTCAATGTAGTTGTCATTCTTCACCAACTTAATTTTAAAAATAAATATCCAATTAAGCTAAATGTTTTTATCTTCCACAAAGTATATACAATGTATAAATGTATAAAATGTATATCATTCTACAAAATATAAAAGGAATGAAATTAATTTTAAATTACCCTACAGCTTACTTTGTAATTTACTAGATTGCCTTTCCTCTTCATTAATCTGAATTCTTAAAGTTTAAGAGTATTAACTGCTATATGTTTATAATTTCCTTGTTAAGAAGAGACCAAATCCATGTCTTTAGCAGAGCCACTTGTATCTAGTATGCCTCTTTGCACAAAGTAAATACAAGGCAGTTGCCGTTACCCGACTGCTATTCAATGACAACAGCTACAGGAGATCCTCCACACTAATAACTCCCTCTCTGGGAATGAAGCTCATGGAGTTGCATGCATCCCTTCAACAGTGAGCCCACAGTGGAAGATACTGTTCTAGATCATCCAAATCACTACTCTTCTCCATCAGCTGATATGACTTCCAGTTTATTTTTAGTACAATAAATTTCAGCATTCTCAAGGGATCATTTATTTACAAACTAAATTTAAATGACTATTAATTTATCTTCACTTCCTGAAACACAAATCTTCCTCTCCTAAAACTCTTCAGTGGATCCCCATTTCCCACAGGGTAATACCAAATGCTTTTAGCTTAACATTTTAGAATCTCTAGAAGTAGGTCCAAATTGATCATTTTGGCCTTATCCACCAATGAACAGCTGTGCAGATGATATCTCAGTGGGTCCATTAAATCTTGCAGATCCACCTGAGCTGGAAATGAGAACTTTCCTTTATTATATTATTCTGACACTTATATATGACCTTAATTATAGTTATTTAAAATAGTACTTAATTATAGTTATTTAAAATAGTACATATATTTCAATGTGAATTGTAGCTCTTAAGAGGGATAAGGATAATAATTTCTTAGATTAATAATTACTGATTATCATATGCTAGGTCTGTGCTTTGCAAGCATTATCTCTTTGAAGAATCATAGCAACCTACTGAAATAGTTATTATTATTGTCTCCATATCGCAATGAGGAAACCAAGACTTAAGGAAGTTAGGTAACTTGCTCAAGGTCTTACAGTAATTAAGTAGCAGAATCCTGACTAAGAACATGGGTCTGTCTAACAATGCATAGTCAATGGGATATAATGCAATATTATTTTAGTGTGAAGATAATATTATAAATTTTATTCTTATTTTACACATAAGGAAACTGAGGCTTGGAAAGATGCAGTGACTTGCCAAAAGTCACAGAGCCAAGAAGTGCAAGAGACCAGAAAAAGGAATAATCAGAGAACAAAAAAAGAGTTCTTATAAATTAAAAATACAGTAGCTGAAATGAAAATTCAGTAGAGTTTATCTTCAACAAAAGATAAAATTAAGAACACCTTCTGACAGGTAAAACAAAAAGACAAAGAAACAGAAAACAGAAGAGATAAGAAATCAATCACAGAGAGTTAACTCTGACTAATAGGAGATCTAGAAAGTGAGAACAGAAAAATGGAAGGGGAAAAAATTTTCAAAGAAATGATATGTGACAGAGAATGTTAGCTGCCCACCGAAATCCATTCTCTTCTTCCTGAGCACCCTACTACATTTCTCAGGTTCCCTTAAGAATTAAGGGGCCAAGTGACTAAGTGCTCTCAAACGGAACATGAGTAGGAGTGATGTGAGCCATTTCCAGGCCTGGCTCATAAATTCTCCCATGTATTTTTGCCTTCCTGTGGGCCAAAGTGGCAATGAACAAAGCGATCTTAGGAACCACATGTTGAAAGAATCTCTGCTGACCTAGAACATCTGCTCTGCACTATTACATGAGAAATAAACTTATCTTGTGGTGGAGCCACTCCATTTTGGGGTCTATTTGTTATAAAGTTTAAGGTTTGTTAAAAAATTAGCCCACCCTAACTAATACATGATACAAGTATATTTCCCTTTGCAGAACTGAAAGACATAATTCTCCAGTAAAAACAATATTTTGTGCTAAAAAACAAAGGAATCACAGTACACTACTTTGTTCAACAATGAATAATTACATAGACAATAATTTTATTGTGATTTTTTTATAAAATTAAAAATTGCAATAAAGTATATTGGGAGGATAAGGGAAAGGAAAATGGAGTAGTTGTGGTGGTAAAAAAACCAAATTATCATCTAGTCTATGAGAAAGTCAAAAGATAGTTTTTAAAATTGGTAAATCAAAAGATTAGTATAAGCCTATTATTTGTAATACACAGGTAAACACCAGAAGAACAAATAAAAAAGATGAAAGTGGTTGTCTTTGGGCAATGCAACTGAGGAATAGAGAAGGAAGAAGCAAAGAGGTGCTGTTTGTTGATATATCTTATTTTTAAACTACATGGTATGTATTACTTTGATATAATTAAACATTTAAAATGTATCAGAGTATTTGGAAACTGAACACAGACGAGATGGACTAGGTATGGAACATCACACTAGGTTTGAGATGGTAGAGCAGAAAGATAGGGAAGGGGAGGAAGAAGATAGTCTGCTGTCCCCAAGTCTTACTACATCCAGATCTCCAGCCTTCAGGAGTTAGAGGCCTCAAAATGTCCAAGAAACATTTATAAATGAGTATCCATAAAAAGTAATAATCAGGGATTCTACTATCTGGCTAGACTTTAGTTTTTCAGTTGCCCTATGGTCCCATATACATACAGTATTATTTACTCTATCCCCACGTGGAAGCATGTCATCTTGGCAGATGTTAGTCATTAGAAAGAATTGTGTGTGTGTGTGTGTGTGTGTGTGTGTAACGAAGGGATTCGGTCTCATGCAAACAGGAAAAGGGTACTCGCGCAGCTAGGAAAAGGGCAGACTGGGAAACGACAAGCAACAATAGAATAGGAAGAGACAGATAAGAGGAAAGTGGAGGAAAGAGAGGCAGTAAATGGAAGGAACTTTATTTAGAAACATAAAAGATGCAAAGAAAAGATTTTGCTGCGGCCTAACTAATCATGGAGACATAGATTTGGAGCGTTGACCTCAAGCATGGCAAATACCTTTACTATGATTCCAAAAGAGAACCCATCATATATCTCAAAGGAGGTGAATGCTATATACTTCTAACAACTATTCTAAACTCAAACCTACTTTAAAGGAAACCATGCACATACCCTTTGAGGAGCATAAAGAGGATATGAGGATGAGCACTAATGTACTCCACAGTAGGACTCCGAGTGCCTATCTGTCTTCTCAGGATGTTGTTAAATATCTGGGTCACATCTTTTTTTCCCTGTTAAAGAAACAAACCACCATTAAATTGCACACTTTAAATGGGTGAACTGTATGGCACGTAAATTATATCACAAAAGCTGTTAATACACACACACACACACAAACAGAAATAGCACTGTCCTTTACAACACGCAAAAACATTAATTTACTCTTTTCATTTATCTTTAATTAGCTGTGCTTTCAAACATTCAAACATAGAGTCTACAAAATGGATGCAGCTCCTTTCCACAGGATTTGCACTGTGGGAAATTTGAACAACTAGAGGTCTATTTCTCACAGCAGTAAATGAAATGGCGCAGAAGAATATAAAATAGCGAATACGAATTCTTTATTTTTTTTACTTTTTAGCTTTATTTAAGAAGAAAATCATGCTTAACTTTTTTAAACCTTCATAAATAAGGAGGGAAAAATAGATGAATAAAATAGAGATTTTAGCAAATGTAGGTTGGAATCAAATTCCTTTTTCTTAGATATACTTCTTGGTAATTTTTTCCCTCTGCTTTATCCATTCTCCTTTCACCTTGATGCATTAAAAAAAACGTGAGTTTTCTACTAGGTGGATATAGCTGACTTAGATGATCATAAGAAATTATATCTAGCCTAGATGAACAGAAGGAACCACTCAGTCCTAGTAGCCTGAGCCAGAGGAACTACAGCCAGTCTTGGATAGGGCTTCTTAGAGTCCTCATACACAAGACTTCCGCTCTCACACACTCTACAACCTGAGGCTAGCCTGCTTCTCCAATTGAAGCTCCAGATTGAACCGGAGTGTATTAAACAGAAAATAAGGACAAGAATGACATTCCACTGTCAATTACTATGGCCCTGATTCTGGCCTTTATCTCTCAACTGAACTATTAAAAAGCGTCATCCAGTTATATCTTCCACTTGAAAGCATCCTTCACTCTGCAGAGTGAGCTAGCTAGAATGCAAATGCGACCATGCCATTCTCTTCTCTTAAGCTCTTCAATGACTCCCTTTTGCTTAGAAAAACGGCCAATGCCTTCCATGACCTGGCCCTTGCCTACCTCTCCAGCCTCATCAGCACTCTCTCACTTTCCAATTGCTACTTTAAGTACACTTATACACAGTCTTTCATGCTTCTATACCTTTGTTCATGCTCTTCCATTTGTCCTGAATGCTTTCCCTTCCTTTCTTTTTCTAGCTAATTCTTAGTCATCCTTTAAGATTCAATTTAGAAGTATTTGTGTCTGGTATAAGTGCCCTTCTCTGTATTGCAACACCATCCTTTGACTACATTGATCAGTACCCCTACCTCTACCTTTACCATTGCCATAGCAGCTAACATTCATTAAGTCCTTACTCTGTGCCAGACACTTATGATAAGAGCTTTACATGTATTGTCCAATCCTCACAACAGCCTTATAATGTACATATTATAAGTAAAGAAATTAAAAACTAGCAAGGTTATCTTACTCAGACCGAATGTGGGAGAGCCAGGACTCCATCCCAAGTTGACGCAATCCAGAGCCTGGGTTCTCAGCCATCATACTAAACGGACGCCAACTCTGAACATAGCACATCGAAATGAATGAGTTTCGTCTCTAATCTCCTCATCAAACTATAAGCTCTCAAGGACACAGGCCACATTTCAATACTCATATTAAGGCCCAGTATATAGCAGTATTCAATATTTATTGGACTTATTTCTTAGTTTAGAGGCATAGCCATCTGTAAATCCTTTATCACAAATATGGGCCATTGATCTCTCCTATCTATCAATGTGGCACTTTTTTAATACTAAATGAACTAAGACTCATAATGAAGAGAAGACAGTAAGATTACTCTACTAATTACTCAATCTTAAACCTACTGGCCATATAAAATATGGACTAAGTATTGATTAAGAATAGTAATATATACAAAAGTATATCATTCACCTTATCAAAAATTGGCTCAAAATAGATCACAGACTTACATGTAAAACATAAAACTATAAGACTTTTAGGAAAAAACAGAGGAAAATCTTCAGGATCCAGAGCTAGGTAAAGAGTTCTTAAACTGGACACTAAAAGCACAATCTATAAAAGAAAAATTGATAAATTGAACTTCATCAAAATTTAAAACTTTTGCTCTGCAAAAGATCCTTTTGATAGGATGAAAAGATAAGCTACAGACTGGGAGAAAATACTCCAAACCACACATGTAACAAAAAACTATTATCTAGAATCTGTAAAGAACCCTCGACACTTAATATTGTAAAAACCAAACAATCCAATTAGAAAATGGGCAAAAGACATGAAGAGACATTTCACAAAAGAGGATATACAGATGGCAACAAGCACACAAAAGATGATCAACATCATTAGCCATTAGGGAAAGGCAAATTAAAACCACAATGAGATATTACTACACACCTATCAGAAAGGCTAAAATAAAAAATAGTGATAACACTAAATGCTGTCAAGGATGCAGAGAAACTACTCTTACACATTGCTGGTAGAGATGTAAAATGGCATAGCCAATCTGGATAATAATCTGGCAATTACTTAAAAAACTGAACATTCAACTACCAGACTAGCAATTGCACTCCTGGTATTTATCAGAGAGAAATGAAACCTGGCCACGAATATGCGGAGCAGCTTTACTTGTAATAGACAAAAGCTGGAAGCAACCTAGAAATTCTTCTACAGGTAAATGGTTAAACAAACTAACTGTGGTACATCTATACCAGGGACTACTGCTCAACAATAAAACAGGAATGAACTATTAGTACATGCAACAACTTGGATGAATCTTGAGGAATTATGCTGAGCAAAAAAAGCCAATCTCAAAAGGTTACACACAGTATGGTTCCATTTACATAATTTTTGACATGACAAAATTATAGAAATGGAGACCAGATTAGTGATTGCTAGAGGTCAGGGATGGGGTGGTGATGGGGGTGAGAGGTGAGTGTGGCTATAAAAGGGCAAGAGGAGGGATCCTTGTGGTAGGAAATTTTTTATATCTTCACTTTATCAATATCAATCTTAGTCATGCTACTATCCTATAGTTTTGCAAGGTGTTAACCACTGGGGAAACTAGGAAGGTACACAAGATCTCTCTGTATTATTTCTTACAACTGCATGCCAATCCACAATTATTTTAAAATAAAAATAAAGAAGGTTAATTTTTTTAAAGTATTTCTTCATCCAACATTACTTATTTATATTTTCAGCTTTACTGAGGTATAATTGACAAAACTGCAATATATTTAAAGTGTACAATGTAATGATTTGACCTATGTATACATTGTGAAAAGATTCCCATCATCCAGTTAATTGATACACATATCACCTGACATATTTACCCTTTTTGGGGGTGGGGGGTGACAACACAAGTTCTACTCTCTTAACAAATTTCAATTATAAAATAAAGTATTAGCAACTACAGACACCATGTTATACATTAGATCCTCAGACCTTATTCAAGTTACAATTGAAAGTTTGTACCCATTTACCAACCTCTCCCCATTTGCCCCACCCTCCAAGCCCCTGGCAACCACCATTCTACTCCCTCTTTCTGAGCTCATCATTTTTTTTTTTTTTGTAGATTCCACATATAAGTGATACCATGCAGTATTTGTCTTTCTCTGTCTGGCTTATTTCACTTAGCATAACACCTTTCAGGTTCACCCTTGTCACAACTAGTAGGATTTATTTCTTTTTTAAGGCTGAATAATATTCATATGTGTGTGTGTGTATATATATATATACACATATGCATACATATATACATTTTCTTTATCCATTTGTCTGTTGATAGACATGTAGGCTGTTTCCATACCTTGGCTATTGTGAATAATGCTGCAATGAACACAGGAGTACAGACATCTCTTCCAGATAATGATTTCATTTCCTTTGGATACATACCCAGCAGTGATACTGCTGGATCATATGGTAGTTCTGTTTTTAATTTCTTGAGGAACCTCCATACTGTTTTCCATAGTGGTTGTACCAGTTTACATTCTCACCAACAGTGTACAAGGGTTCCTATTTCTCCACATCCTTGCCAGCATTTGTTATATCTTTTCTTTTTGATAACAGCCATTCTAACAGGTGTGAGGTGATATCTCATTGTGGTGTTTTTTGTGTGTGTGTGAGGAAGATCAGCCCTGAGCTAACATCCATGCTAATCCTCCTCTTTTTGCTGAGGAAGACTGGTTCTGAGCTAACATCTATTGCCAATCCTCCTCCTTTTTTTCCCCCAAAGCCCCAGTAGATAGTTGTATGTCATAGTTGCACATCCTTCTAGCTGCTGTATGTGGGACGTGGCAACAGCATGGCCGAAGAAGTGGTGTGTCAGGGCGCGCCGAGGATCCAAACTCAGGCTGCCAGTAGCGGAGCGTGCACACTTAACCGGAGCGGGCACACTTAACCGCTAAGCCACAGGGCCGGCCCCTCATTGTGGTTTTAATTTGCATTTCTCTGATGATTACTGATGTTGAGTACATTTTCATGTACCTGTTTGCCATTCATATGTCTTCTTTGGAAAAATGTTCAGGTTCTGTACCCATTTTTCAATTGTGTTATTTGGCTTCTTGCTATTGAGTTGTATGTGTTCCTTGTACACTGTAGATATTAACCCCTTACTGCATATGTGGTTTGCAAAAATATTCTCTCCTATTCCATAGGTTGCCTTTTCATTTTGTTGATGGTTTCCTTTACTGTGCAGCTTTCTAGTCTGATGTAGTCCCCCTTGTTTACTTTTGTTTTTGTTGCCTTTGCTTTTGGTGTCAAATCCAAAAAAATCATTGCCAAAACCAATGTCTAGGATCTTACCCCCTGTTTTCTTCTAGGAATTTTATGGTTTCAGGTCATATGTTCAAGTCTTAACCCATTCTGAGTTTATTTTTGTGTATGGTGTAACATAGGGGGTCAATTTCATTCTTTTGCATGTGGATATCCCGTCTTCCCAACACCCTTTACTGAAGAGACTATCCTTTCCCTACTGTATATTCTTGGTTCTTTTGTTGAAAATTAATTGACAATATAC